GTATTTCCATACTTTCTCCCATTTGTGCCTATGTCTGCGGCTACTGCCGGAAGCCCATCAATGGGAAAGCATCTTAGTCTAAGGAAAACCTTTTCAGATTTTACTGTAAAAACTTTGGGCCCAGTGGCACTAGACAGGAGATGGAGTGCTTTGTCAGCAGTGCCCAGAGAGACTTGCTCTATGAAATCCAAGAAAAGAGAACAGAAACACCCCTCAAACTTTTCTGTTCCACTCCATCTGGAGCTTCAACCGACTCAAAAAATATTGGCCCATAGTGATCATAAAATGTCCCATTTGAGTGTTCTTAAGCAAGAGTGAAACCTGCTAGGTGCTTAGAATGCAAAGCACTTCTTTCACATGCTCAGAGGAAAATGGTCTTTCTCTCCAGGCATTTAGTGGGATGAACTTAATGAAACACAGCCAGAGGTAGCTCAGCTGACCACAAGCCATGCTTTACCAGAATGCTCCAAAGAGGCCATTTGTGGGTTGCAAAGCTATTTCCTCTTGCTTTAAAATTGCATTTTAGATCATTGAAATTTGTATAAAATTATGGATCCAGGTGTCGCTGCCATTTTGGATACGTTCAAGAAAATAGGTGCCTGTTTTTCTGGCTACTTCAATAACAGAATGAGGAAAACGTGGAAGTGAGTATTTGAAGTCAGCTGCTATCTCCACGTTCATCTTAAAAAATGAGTGGAGATATTCAGGGAAGGTGATGGAGGCTTCCAGACTTCCTATAACCAATTCCCCTGTTTCTCAGGTGATCCCAGAAAGAAACATCCAAGACTTCTGCTAAAGGAGAGTGAGGAAGACAAGTAAAAAGAAAGTGGAAAAAACAAGGAGACTAGCCAACACTGAGGCACTGGGCGTTTAGCCTCTTCCTATAATGTCAGCATCCCATATGGGAGCTCGTTGGAGACCTAACTGCTTCATTTTTTTTAAATTTTATTTTATTTATTTATTTTTTCCATATTGTTTCCTTCATGTTTAAAGGGGGGTATTAAGGGAGAAGGCCCACCCAATTTCCCACCCTCCCCAGGTCCCGGATGTAGGGTATGCTCTAAGGTTCTTGCTTAAGTGGTTTTGATATTTCTTTTTTTTTTTTTTTTTTAAGATTTATTTGTATTATCTTTTTATTGGAAAGGCGGATATACAGAGAGGAGAGACAGAGAGGAAGATCTTCCGTCCGATGATTCACTCCCCAAGTGAGCGCAACGGGCCGATACTATGCCGATCCGAAGCCAGGAGCCTCTTCCGGGTCTCCCACGCGGGTGCAGGGTCCCAAAGCTTTGGGCCATCCTCGACTGCTTTCCCAGGCCACAGGCAGGGAGCTGGAAGGGAAGTGGGGCTGCTGGGATTAGACCTGGCGCCCATATGGGATCCCGGGTGTGCAAGGTGAAGACCTTAACCACTGCGCCACCGTGCCGGGCCCGGTTTTGATATTTCAACAGTTATGAATTGCTGCCAATCTTGCCACTCCCAGCACGATGAGGTTGTTGAAAAAATCCACTGATTGACATAGTAACTGCTTCATTTTTAACCAGCTCCCTGCTAATGCACCTGGGGAAGCAGCAGAGGGTGACCAAGACGACCTCTGTACCCATGGGGAGGTCTGGAGGAAGCTCCTGACGAACCCAGCTAGAGGCACTGAAGGTTTTGGGAAGTGAACCCAAGGATGGAAGATCTCTCTGTCTCACCTTCTCTATTTCCGTAACTCTGCCTTTAAATAAATAAATCTTAAAAATGAAAGAAAAATATAAGACCAGGATCTCGAGAAGATACATGAAAGTGAAAACATTTTGGAAAACCAAAAGAAATGAATACATGTCTTATTTGCATCACACCAAGTAGGGCAGATTAGAGAAATTCAGGTGCAAGTAAAGCCCCATGAGAAATGGTGTTTGATGCTGGGACCCAGACCTAACCCCTCTGCTCTCTACCAGCTCTGCAGTGTGCTGTGCCAGTGAAACATTAAGATATTGTCAGTAACGTCCAGGGCATGGTGGGCTTAGGAAATACACCAGGGCGTGGGTTAAGCAGTGCAAGGAGTGCAATCGAGACAAGTTTTCCTCCACTGTGCCATTTACCGGCCACACCGAAGGAGCTGATTTCCGCCCATCTGCCAAAGACCTGCGTTTGCCTTCTCGGGGTTTGAGCAATTGACTCCACTCTCTCTTACTGTCCCTTCCCAGCAGCTCTGACTGGCTGATGAAGAAAATGGCCCCAAATTAAAAGGCCGTTCTAGAATGTCTCTGGGAAGGAACCTGAGGAGTCTTAACACATGTGACAGTTACAGGAAAGCAAACCTGGGCAGAGTAAGCACTCAAGGAATGGCTTGTGACATAGTCCCCGGCTGAGAGGCCAGGAGAAGAGACAAAGGGAGAGGGTCCTGCGGCGTGGCCTAGCAGCTAAAGTCCTCGCCTTGAATGCGCCAGGATCCCACATGGGCGCCGGTTCTAATCCCGGCAGCTCCACTTCTCATCCAGATCCCTGCTAGCCCAAAGCTTTGGGACCTTGCACCCGCGTGGGAGACCCGGACGAGGTTCCTGGTTCCCGACTTCGGATCGGCACAGCACTGGTCGTTGTGCCCACTTGGGGAGTGAATGATCGGAGGGAAGATCTTCCTCTCTGTCTCTCTCCTCTCTGTATATCTGATTTTGTAATAAAAATAAATAAATCTTTAAAAACAATGAAAAGAAACAAACAGACATGCGCATTAGCTACTATACTTCTCTCAGTCTCATTGGAAGGAACGTGTCATTTCTTCCTCGTGGGTGAGTTTCTCCCCGTCATTTACCAGAAACATTTTCTATATACAATTTTTAATGTATTTGAGAGTTTATTTGAAAGAATTTCGTTTCATTTGCTGATTCACTCCCCAAAATGCCCACAAGAGCTGGAATTGAGCCAGGCTGAAACCAGGCTCTCTGAATTCATATCAACATGGATGGCAGGGACCCAGTCACTTCGGCAGTCACTTACTGCTTCCCGGGGCATGTGACAGGAAGTTGGAGTTCCAACTGGAGCCAGGACTGTGACCCAGGTGACCTGAATGGGATGTGAGGATCTCATACGGTGCTTTAATGACTAGGCAAACATCACCCCTTGTGATTGCATTCTCAAACCAGTCTTCCTTGGGGACCTCCGCTCTGACGTGGTGCTCTTTACTTCCCATGCAGAGCTTCTGCATAGAGAATCTTTTTTCTCTCTAGTGTACACCTGGCCTTGAGACACGTATCGCATTTGTTTCCTGGGCACCATAGCTTTGCATGTCCCACAGGTTCTCAAACTTAGTACGTTTCCTCTGCCCCCATTCTCAAAACGGGCAACCTTATATGGTTATGTCCGTGCTATTTCTTCTTCCTTTGAGGAGAATGGTAACACGTCAGCTGATCACGCCTTTTAACCCCTCCCCGTGTTTGTATTTCTGGTGTGGGGCAGCAAGTGAGAATGCAACACAGACATTCCTTATCTGGGAGTCAGCATGGTGGAATGGCAGATTAAGACAGTGTCTACAATGCCAGCATACGTGGCAGGCACTGGTTCAAGTCCTGTCTGCTCTGCTTCTGATCCAGCTTCCTGTAGATGCACTTGGAAGAGTAATGAAAGATGGCCCAAGGATGTGGGCCCGTACCACCTCCAGAGAAGGCTTGGCTGGGGTTCCAGGCTGCTGGCTTCTGCTCGGCCCTGCCCTGCATGTTGTGGTCATTTGGTTGACTGGACCAGTGGACAGATCGCTTTCCCTCTCTCTCTGCTGCTTTTTAAAATATCTAAATAAATTAATTAAAATATCTTTTTGGGAAGATAGTCTTAGCGAAATAAAATACAGATTTGCAACAATACATTCAGGCATTTATTTTTATTCATTTTATTATCAAGTCCCTACTATGTACAAAATCTCCTCCAGTACTGTGAGAGTTGTACAGAGCATGGGCTATAATTTCAAAAATTCTGTAATGCCACCAGGAAGTGAAAGTAAGCTAAAAATCAGCATCGTAGAGGGGAAAATGCTGGCGACAGTGTCACGGTCAACATTGCATTCCCCTTAATTCACATATGGCAGTCCTAAAGTGTGGCTATATTTGGAGATAAGGCATTAAAGATGTGAGCAAGTTAAAACGAGGCCTTTAAGGTGGGACCAATCCAATTTTCCTGGAGTCTTTACATGAAGAGAACTTGTGGACAAAGAGGCAGACACAGAGACAGGTGAGTGCACCAACACCCCTGTGAGGACGTGGGGTGAAGGCATCCAGCAGTCAGCAAGGCCACAGGAGATTGACTTTGCCAACACCTCCATGTCTGAACTCAGTGTTTGGTTCTGGTAGTCCGAGCGGATTGGGAAAGGGGAAAATTGATGGAATATTGAAATAATAACTGCCTGAGAGCCATATAAAATCCAGGCAAACCTTGCCTTCCTACTGGGTCTAATTCTGGCAAAACCAAAAACAAGCAATGCCTGTCCCCTTTGTTTTACTGGAATTCCTTTGCCTTGCTCACCAGGTCTGTTGGTGGCTGTTCTCCTGGTGGGGAAGGTTTGCTGCTGGAATCACTAATATTGGTGTGAAGAGGAACTTACTTGCTTACTGCCCCCAGTCATTAGCCCTCTTCCATGAAAAACAGGCTTCATTATTGACTTTAAGGAAATGGAAGTAAGGGAGAAATTTGGGTTCCCCGAAAAGAAAAGAATTCCTTCGAAACTTGACGAATTCTGGAGGAAGATGGATTTCTCTTAAAGAGATTGAGAAGCAGAGACAGAGGGAAAACTCCCATCTGTTGATTCACTCCCCCAAGTACCTGTAGCAGTCCTGAAGCCAGGAACTAGAAATTTCACCTCTGAAAGCTGGAATCCACAGCAGAGACTCGAACTTAGGCATTCCAACATGGGATGCCTGTGTTGTAAATTAGCACCCTAGCCACCGGACCGATCAGGCCCCGCAAAGCCTAGGTTCCCACAATGCCCTGTAGGTAGGCAGGTTCAGCAAAAACAAGAAGCTACTCACAGTGAAGCAATCAGATGTCCACTTCTGAGACTGCTGGCCAATCTCCGATCCTTATGGAATTCGATTTGATGATCTTGAAATGCTTAATGATATCTGTAATTAAATATGGATAGAAGCATGATTAAGTGGGACTAATTTCAGCCAATGTGGACATGTATTTATGTGCAAAGCAAGATTTAGACTTTATGGGGAAAACGTCACAGATAGAAATAGTGACTATTTATTTCCCTACATTTTAAAGAAAATAAATGCAGTTGTTACAATCCTGGAGTTTTCCTAAATAATGGGACTGAGAAGGTAGTATGGTTAATATGAGCTGTCTGACAGTGTTTGTATTTAATTGCTTGGTTTCCCCTTCTGCAAGCAGATAAAGGAAAATGGAAGAAGCAAGTCCTATCAGAGGAAAAACACTTTATATTTGGTCTATCGTGTCCATGAGTGTTCATGTACCATTTTGACAGTGAGACCCAGCAAGGATAGCTTGAAAACAAACAAACAAAAAGAAAGTGAATAAATAGCCAAGTGACCCAATGTGGAGTCTACCTTCAGATGTTTTTCTTTTTCTATTTTCAGATTTAGGGTTAAACAGAGTTCTAACTCCTTGGTTGAAGGCTTTCTGTACCAGTGAGTACCTTGTCATTTCAAACAGATCCCCAAGTGACCCACTCCTCCTCATCTTTTCCTGCAGGCTGTAGCTTTTCAGGCGATGCCCAACACACACGTCATGGATGACTAGGCTCAGATGCTATCGTCAAAATTCTCGGAAGGCAAAGTTGAATCTGGACTAGACTTGATTAGAAAGGAGAAGACCCCAGATGATGAAAAGAAGGCAGGAAAGGTGAGAGGGACCCGGATGTGTTAAATGAATGAACCCACCTTCCTTCCCCAGTCTCCAGGCACACTAAGGATCAGTAATCAGATACTATCTGTTGGGTCTTCAATGTACCATCTACTCGGACATGAGGAGAAGTGAGTTTCATGTGAAAATATTCACTATAGGGGAACCAGGGAGTGCAATGACAGGAAAGCAGGAATTTGCCTCCTCCTATCAGTATTCTAAGTCCTCCATGAGAAGGGATTGTCTTACAGCCCTCAGGAAACCTCTGGCTAAATCCATTCGGTAGCATGAGAAACAGAAACTAGCATCATTCCAAATGACACAAGTGGAAAACATTGCTAGCCCATACTTGCAAAATGGTTGAAATTCTGCTTTAAAATTCCAGCTGCAAGTGTTTTTAGAAAGATGTCATTTTCCAAATGGATACCAAGGCAAGGGACTTAAATGATAACATTGTAACAGAGAGTCTTTGCAAAGGTTAAATTAAGGATATTTTTAAAGAATGAATAACTAGCTAACATGAGGAACAAAAAATAGATATAAAGTTTTACCTTACATGGCTAAATTGGGACCTCCTGATTTCGACATTACCATTCCTATAAAAAACAATCCCCAATGATCCTTTCGTAATATAATTTTTATTATAAAAATCATAATTATCAATAAGTAGTACTTTTTTAGTGCTAGGCTTCTACAAAAGCACCATACGCAAATCTATTAGATCACTGTAACAAGCTTCCAAGATATTCTATGTCTGAGGGCAAGCATTGAAAGAGCACCGTGTTTAAGGCATGCCCTAAATCCACCGAGCTATGAAGAGAGTGGTAGAGTTATAGAAGCAGCTCTCTCCAGAGTGACGGATGTATTTAGATGCCTGTACATATCCACTCATTTGTTGAGTGAGTGCTCCAATGTCAGAACACAGCATGTAGTAATGAACAGAACTCTGTCCTCAGGACATTTGCATTCTGACTGGATACAGTTAGCACGTGTGTTTCTCAACAAAAGTAAATAATGCAACAGCATGAAGCCAGGGTTATGGTGTAGTGGAGTTAAGCTGATGCAGCACTGGTGTCCCGTATGTATAACTATTTGATCCATTTTCAATCTAGCTCCCTGTTAATGTGCCTGGGTACCCAGTGGTGAATGGCTGAAGCGTTTCAGCCTCTGCCACCACATGGGAGATCTGGATGAAGTTCCACGTTCCTGAATTTGGGCTAGCCCAGTCTCAGCTATTGCAACCAAACGAGCAAATGGAAGATTTCTCTCTTTTCTTCTGCCTCTCTGCCAGTCTCCATTTCTCTCTCTCCTTGCTCTCTCTCTCTCTCTCTCTCTCTCTCTCTCTCTCTCTCTCTCTCTCTCTTTGTATGAGTTTCTTCACTCTATTAACTCTGACTTTTAAATAAGCAAGCCTTTCAAAAACATTACAAAGCAGCATGTGATCAAGGGCTACTACAGGCTGGTGATGAGGACTGTCTCTCTAAAGAGATGCCATCCCAGGTGCACCTGTATTTCTGGGAGACAGTCATCAATGTAAAGACCTCAGGATGGAACGTTCCAGGCAGCACCCTTGAGAACCCTGTTCTGAGACTCTGATGCGATCGCTGTGTGGTCTGTAATCATGGAACTCTTTCAAGTTGTTTAGTTCTTTCAAGAATCAGACTCCTATAGTACACAGTGTGTAAAGGGTGCTGAACAAAGGGTCTCACCCAAAGCAATCCTCAAAGTAGGGTCTTCCCTCTAAAGCATGAAGGTAGCCATGGTGCTGGTGGGCTGTCCCTGCCCATAGAGCACTAAAGATGTACACAGCTACTTTTGCATCCAGCGTCCAGCAGGATACATGGTTTCTGCTGCTTTGTTTGCTAGGGAAATTCAAAAGGTGCTGCATGCTGAGGGCTTACCTGAACTTCTTATGTGTTGGGGGATAAAGCAGAGTATTTTTCAGTACTAGGCAGAGGAATGAAAAGCTACTGGAATGGGAAAGGAATGGTGAGGAGCTATTTTGGACACAGTTGGCAGGAAGTCACATAATTTGTGGGGATGGAAATTAAAATAAAAATGTCTAAAAATAAATCTATGGGTTCTAGTCAGAATGAGCCAATGACAATAAAACATTAATAATCATCTCTGTTTTTCATTTATTGTTGAAAATGGAAGCTGGTAGTATGTTAGAGTGAAGAAAATAAGTGGTCCTAGGGAATTGGGTCATCCAAATAAGTTGTAATGTGTGCACTGACCTTGAACAAGGTATTTAACCACTCTTGTCCTCTCAACTCCTCATTTGTAACATGAAGCAGTTGGAATACATTTTTAAGATCCTTTTTGACTCATATGGTTTATGTATAAATGTACAATCTTTTAAGGAAAAAATGTGTTGTGTGTGTCTCAGCATCCACAAATTGCCTTGCCGTAGATTAGAGTAAAACAAATTCAGCTAATCTCCTCTTTTCCAGCAACTCAAAGGACTGAGTTTTCACAGGAGTATCTTGCTTCTTAAAAACAATTATTTTGTTTTATTTAAAAGGCATACACACAAAGAGAGAGAGAGAGAGAGAGAGAGGCAGAGACAGGTTGGCAGACATAATCTCTGGTTCATTTTCTAAATGTGTGCAACAATCAGTGCTGTGCCAAGCTGAAAGCAGGAGCGCGGAGTCCCGCATGTGAGTGCAGGGAGCCATCACCTTCTGTTTCCTGGGAATACGTCAACAGGAAGCTGCCTTGGAAGCTGAGTCACAGGGACTTAAACCAGAGATTTAATCACATCCCAGATATGCCCACCTGGAAGAGTCATCTTTTAGGACTACCCACTGAAATATTTTTTTTAAACAAGGTTTTTTTTTTATTATTATTCTTTTATTGGAAGGTCAGATATACAGAGAGGAGGAGAAATAGAGAAGTAGCTCTTCTGTCTGCTGATTCGTTCCCCAAGTAACTGTAATGGCCGGAACTGAGCTAACATGCAGTCAAAAGCTAAGACATTTTTCTCCGGGTCTTCCATGCATTTGCAGGGTACCAAGGCTTTGGGCTGTCTTCATCTGCTGTCCCAGATCACAAGCAGGGAGCTGGTTGGGAAGCAGGGCTGCTGGGACATGAATCTGTGCCCATACAGGATCCCGGTATGTACAAGGCAAGGATTTTAGTCACTAGGCTACCACATCGGGCTGGAAATGAGTGTATTTTATACCTCTAAAATAAATGGTAATGTACCTTATCATAATATCTATAAATCACTGAATGCCTGGTTTGTACAAAGTGCTTGCTATCTGATAACGTCTTTATGCTTTATACTAAAACTGTGAAATGAGTGGTTATCTCCATCCGGATAGGAAAACAGACTCAAATTCACTATCACATAATTGATAAATGGTGGAGTTAGCAAGCAAACCTATATTTATTTTACTCTAAAGCTCTTTCCATGACTAAACACATGGAGTAGCCAAAATGCCAACATCGACATTCTCTCTCTCTCTTTTTTTCCTTCTTGGGATCTATTAACAAAATGCTTGGGAATAGGGTTTCAATGAGTATGCTGAATACAGATTGACTCATCTGGTTATCTGCCCATAATCCACTCACTTGTAACAGTCTAATTTTCCCATGGAGAACAACTAGAAAACATGAATACAAGTGGAAAGTAGAAACCCAGCATCTGTTGGAAGGCATCAGGGAGCTGTTGGAGAAAGCAGGACTCGTGGGACCAACATGCTGGAGAGAGGCAGAGATGGAAGAGTAGCCTCCTATTCAAGCACAAAGAACAAGAGGGCATAAGAGAGTGAGAAAGTCAGGACACGTTTCTGCAAATCAGAAGTGTTATCAGCAGTTCCAAAGTTGAGTTGGAACAAGTCAAAGTTCAAGAAGGGAAGGGTCATTCGGGGTTGATAAAATTCTATTTTGTATCTTATTTTGGGGGGTTGTTATACAACTGCGTATATATTTCCGAAACTTGCAAAACTAGACTCTAAAATAGTAAATTTTATGTGTGTGAATATAGTTAGATACGAAATTGAAACAAGCAAATATGAAGAATTTTGGGATAGAACCTTAGGAGTCATACAGATGGATCTCAGAACACCTCAGTCCTTTGCAAAGACAAGATAATCCCCATCTGGAGGAACATCACATCACCTAGCACTTCAGCTGGATGTTCATATGAAAAACAGACAAGCAACTTTTTATGTCTATTTACCACCACGTGCCTTAAATATTGCCAGATTGATTGTAGCTCTAAATGAAATAACGTAACATATACTTCATT